AAAAAAAAAAAAAACAAATGTCCAATCTTTTTCTTTTTTTTTAACTGTTGGTTGCTATTACAACACATTGAAGCCTTACTGAATTTAAGTCAATTCGAGTAAAATTTAATTCCTAAATCCAAATATTCAATCATCATAAATAACTTTAATTCGGCTATTGACTAGTACTAATCATACTGTTATTTATTTTATTTTATTTTTTTGATAGGACTAATCATAACTGTGATGAACCAACCCGATACCAAAAACGTTTTGATATCACTTGTTGAGAAACAGGCCAAATAATTAAAGAAGAAAAATATGGACAATGTGAAATTTAATAGATCACACAACAATCAAGTAAATTGTGGAAGAGGAGAATTTATTATACCAAGAAACAAACAATTGTCTTACAAGATTTTGATCCTCTCAATTTAATCTAAACAATTCTCTCTTATTTCTAATGTATACAACAATGATCTAATTGTTATAATATTTCTTGAGTCTTTCCTTTTCACCCATTTTTGAAGCATCTATATCTTGTGGAGTATTTATAGAAGCAAAATCTCGAAGTTGTGAATGGGGTAGAGTCCAAGATGAAGAAGAAGTCCCAAAATCCGGATAAAAAGGGAAAAACGCGAAAAATCCGCTACTGGGGCGCCACGGCGCCCACCCGAGCACCTCGACACAGGACCCGACACCACAGCGCTGCGCCGGGCTTGCTGAAATTATTATTATTATTTTCGTTTCCGTTCCAAAGTGTTTTACTTTATCTTCGAGTCCTTTTCCAAGCCAAACTTTTAATCCATGATGAAATTTGATCTCCACAACTAAGGACTCTACAAATTCTAGTGCCTTAGACTTCCTTCATGCAACAAACTTCTAATTCAGATAGACTTTTGTGCCAAAACCCAACAATAGCATTCTAACACTAACAATTACAATTTATTACCAGATGCATAATTCAATTTTGCCTTTATGAAATTCTACCCATTTTAAAAAGAATCAAGAAAATAAGAACCCACAAAAAATTCTAAACATCATAAAATCAGAAAGACCAAATCACGCAGAATTCAACAAACATTCAAACACACCTTTACGATTAGATAAACAACATTAACAATTTTTAGCCCAAAAAAGGGAAGAAAAAGCAAGATTTTTTCCTCAAATTATCGTACCTCTTAAACACTGGTCATGTGCAGTATTCGTTGACAGAGATGGAATGAGATTCCGTGAGTATGTGTTACTGTGTGAGAGAGAGATCGAAGGGTATATGTGGATAGAGTAGAAAGTTGTTGGACTGAAAAAGGTGTCTTCTTTCAATTGAAGCGACTAATGTGAATATTACTACGTTGTTTCTTCGAAGTTTCCAATTTTTTTGGTGTTTTACTTTTTATGATTTTATTTCGATATTTAATGACCAATATATAGAAATTTATATTAAAGAATGACCAAGTTCGAATGATAAAGTTACTTTCACGACTCTGATTGAGCTAATCAACTTATCTTTGTGATTGCTAATTGAAGTGCACGACGCGACATATAAAGAGAATATGAGAGTCAATCTCGAATAAAAATAGGACATTTGTAAAAAACGAGTCCAACAATATTTTTTAGATCATGTTTGATTTATCTGAAAAATAAATTTTTAATAGATTTTGATTAAAACTAATTAATGTGATTGAAAAATTGATAAAAATTATATATTTCATAAAATATGTAATTGAAAATGTATTTAAGAAAAAAAAATGAGTTTTAGAAAAATATGGGTCAAACAAAGAATCGATTTTAAGTTCTTTTTTTTATTTTATTTTTTTTGAAAACTAACGAGAGAATTAAGAAAAGTTTTGTGTAAACCACGGGTAAAGCTCGTTGATAGTAAGTCGTGAAGTGTGTAAACGTCAGGCGGTCAAAATTTAAATCCTTAAGTCGCGTGTGTGTACTTTTCTATGGTGAAATTAATGAAATTATTCTGATTTCACTTTAAATGACACATTACTTTTTATTGTTTGCACGGCAAAATAAAAAGTACTTAAAAATATAATCTAATACGTAACCTTCTTATCGATTAATACCTTTAATAAAAATGGATTTGTATAAGTTATTTCTCCAAAGTTTCTCTCTTGGAACTCATTCTCAAGTATTGTTAGCTTTGTATTTCCATGAAGTGTATATTTACTATTTATGTATTTGGTGTTGTAATTGCTTTTGTGATTTTGTTTCAATATATCTGGCCAATATGTAGAAATGTAAAATAAAGAACAATTTAATTTTTCAATCGATAATAAAGTTACTTTAGATATTTGAAATGAGCCAATCTTTCCTTCATGCTTGTGATGACCAAGTGTGAATTATTTATGAAAAAAACATGATAATGGAGGCATGGCCCTTTTTGAGATGGTCGTACAATGTTCTCAATTTTCTAATTTTTCAAAAATCATTTTATGAAAAAAAAAAAAAAAAAGCAAACGAAATAAAATGACCCGTGTAAGTCACAAGTTGTCATCTGAATAGAGAGCGTTGGGCATATGCCTCCAAATTTAAC